GAAATAATGGGCTGAAATCCTCATGCCATCCTAACATGCCATCAGGGAATAGTAAGGCTTACTGTTGGACTCGAAAATAAGCTGCCCCATTTTTCCTAATTGACAGAAATGCCTGTTTCTTCAGCACTGTCCTTTGTCGACAAGGCACATTTGGCTGGTTGCAGCTCTTCTTGCATATTCAGGGACATTTATATAGAGAATGTTCTTTCAAAAGGAACTTTTTTCCTACTGAGAAGCTTAAAAAAAAAAAAAAAAAACCGTAATAGATTATAAGTCTTTAGAAGCAACTGCTGAACTAATTATACATGTTTTATTTACCATTTTGAAAATCAGTGTAAAATTGGTCGTAATGCCAGGAAATTTCAAAGGTAAGACTTGGCTATTTTTTTGTATCTCGGCTTGGTGAGGATCTCAGCTCACTGTGGTAATAGTAATTATGCTGCGATACTAGGCCTATTGGAGTGCCTCCAATTTTGATTTGCCTTGGTTTTTTATTTTCTTTGACGTAGAATATTTTTACAGCTTATCGGAATCCTGGTTTTTGTTGTTGTTTTTCTTAATATACGTAACTCAGAAATTATGCTAAATCAGTGAGAAGGACTTCTTACCTAGCTTTGATTTTGTCTTTGTTTATATTTGCCTTATTCTTTGATCAGATAGCTTAATTAGAATTCCATAGCTACCTGGTAGAAAGCTGCTGAGGATAAAGCTTAAGGAAGTACTTCTGCTAAAAGCAGCTCCTTTTATTCATCAGGGGAATTCGATTTCATCCTGTGGATAACATAGCTTAGAAGTTCTCTTTCTTTGGGACCAGCCTGAGAGTTCTGCAAGCCCGGAAGCCTGAGAACTGTGGCGGGGGGAAAATGGGCTACTTGCTGTATTTAGTGTGGGCTGGCAAGGATGGTAAGGTAGCAACTTAGTTCTGTTTTTCTACCCTGGAATTCAGAAGTACCTTTAAGCAGGGATTGCATGGGGGTGAGGAGGACAAATCAAGAGGGGCAGGAAGGGATGTTTGCAAAAATTATAAATGGAGAGAAAAAAAAAAGGAAAAACAAACAAAAAAATTTAAATGGAATGTCAGAGACTCTTTCGTAACTACTCTTTAAAAAATTAACTTTAGGACCAAGAGTGGTATGGCTCACACCTGTAATCCCAACACTTTGGGAGGCTGAAGTGGGAGGATCGCTTGAGCACAGGAGTTCAAGACCAGCCTGGGTAACATAGTGAGACCATGAGCCACCACACCACACTTTAAAATTTTTGAGGCAGGGTCTCACTCTGTTGCCCAGGCTGGAGTGCCATGGAGCAATCTCAGCTCACTGCAACCTCTGCCTCCTGGGCTCAAGCGATCCTCCCACTTCAGCCTCCCCAGTAACTGGGACCACAGTCATGCATCACCACGCCCAGCTAACTTTTTGTATTTTTAGTAGAGAAAGGGTTTTGCCATGTTGCCTGGGCTGGAGCTCAAGTGATCTACCCACCTCAGCCTCCAAAGTGTAGGGATTACAGGTATGAGCCACCATGCCCAGCCTAAATTTTTTGTAGAGAAGGGTTCTCACTGTTCTTGAACTCCTGGGCTCAAGTGCTGGGATTACAGGTGTGAGCCACTGCCCTCCGCTTGATTATTTTCATATTTGATCCTCAGAGTGAACACACAGTTTGTTGGTCCTCTGAGCCCTGACTGCCCTTCTCATCTTCTGTCTCCCATTCTTGAAAACCCTTTTCCAGTCAGTCTGTCCCAAAACATGTTTGTGCTTTCCTATTTTAATCATTATTATTCATGCCTTTTACGTCACCTCTCCAAGCTACCAGTCTTATAAGGACCAATTCAAATTTTTCTTCTGCCTGACACCTTTCCCACCTAGTCCAGGTTGATTGATTTTCCTTTTAAGTGTAAATATTGTCTCTCAAGTAAGTTACAAGATCCTCGTCAGCAGAGACAGTACGCCGTCCTCCTTTGTTTCACCACATTTTCTTTGCTGTATAAGTATGCATTTGATTTGGGTGATGGACACTTCAGTTCTTAATTCCAAAGATTAGGGTAAAATAAAAAAGATTAACACTCTAAAATATGCAGGAAGGAGGGAATTTAGCTGCTGTATAACTAGAGCTACCAAATGGGGACCTTTCTCTTTTACTCAGTTTTAGAGGTTCTGTTGTCCTTGTTGAGTTCGATGGAATCCTTCTGTCAGATCCTCTTCATGTAAACAGCTGAGTAGAATAAGGGTATTGCTTCAGATTCTAACAAATCATACACAGAAAATGAAAATGCCCTCTGTATCTCACTCAGATTCAAAAAGGTTATCATTCCTGTTTACACCTGACACATCATTTTTACATATTACTAATTAAGATTCTCTAAATTTATCGGGGTTTTACAGATGAATGAATTGGATGAATAAGGACCTTGGACTCCGCTTCCAACTTTTCTTCTTTAATTTATCTTTATTCAAAAGAAAAAACAAAGAAGAATCCCAAGAAAATTTACTTTAACATTTGTTAGTATGAAAATGTAAGCATTGGGTTTTTAGAAAATGTTTTGCTTGAATTCAGTGGTTTTAATAAACCAGAGAACAGTGTTCCCCGCCCCCCCCGCTTTTTTTTTTTATTAAAGACAGAATTTTACTCTTGTTGCCCAGGCTGGAGTGCAATGGCACAAGCTTGGCTCACTGCAACCTCCGCCTCTCAGGTTCAAGCGATTCTCCTCCCTCAGCCTCCCAAGTAGCTGAGATTACTAATGCCTGCCACTGTGCCCAGCTAATTTTTGTGTTTTTAGTAGAGATGGGGTTTCACCATGTTGGCCAGGCTAGTCTCAAACTCCTGACCTCAGGTGATCCACCTGCCTCGGCCTCCCAGAGTGCTGGGATTACAGGTGTGAGCCTTCTTCTTATTGGAAGAAGTGTTCTCTTCTTACTGGAGCCTTTATATCTCATCCTTCCTGGCCTATTTGGTAAATATGATACATTCTTCTGGAAAACTGCCGTGTCTCCCTGACGTGGCAAGTGCTTCCTATGTCGATGGATTTCTTGTCCTACCCTTCCTACCCTCCAACTGAGTCTTTTCAAGTATCTACCAAATGCAAACATTTCAACCAGCTGCTAATGGGAATTCATAGCTTTGAAAACTCAGAAATGTAAGATGTTGAGAAATATGAGGTTTTAAGGAGGTTTAAAGAATGCTTTTAGCTCTCCGTTAGTTATGATTTCTATTTCTATTTCTTTCCCCTATTGAGGTTAAGGAAAATTGTGATAAATATTTTACTTCCTTTGCTTGTAGTTCTGTGTGAAATTATTTCCTTATAGTGTTATTAGTTGGTGATGATCTGTATGTGATTATTTAAAACTCAATGTGTTTTCAGAGGTTGTTGAATATTCTTATAAGTGGAGATGATAATTTTGATTATGGATAATGGTGGAAGATTTGGTGTCTTAGGGGGCATTCTAGATTACGGAGTACACAAACATTTCCTACTTTGGGGAGAGAGGGACAAGGCGGCTGGGTTGGAAGGGTGATCTACACACTTCCAGGCATATGCTGATAGAGCTGTTGACAGTGTGAACTTTCCCAGTCATAGTAAATCTGGGATCACGGTGGCATTTCTGGGTCCTACAAAAATGTGTGCTATCTTGGGAATGTTACCACTTCTTGCCCTGGGTGTTTCATAGAGGTGTTAAAAAAGAAAACACCCTCCTTCTATCTTCCAGTTGAGGCACTCTGGTGGGAAGCTGGTGTCTTGGTTAAACAGATTACAAACAACTCTAGATGCTTGGTGACAAGTTTGAAGAAGGCGTTATATTTTATTACAGCAGAAACCAAAATACTTGGGAAGTTTTCCTCTCTGAAGTAGCTGACTCATGGCATAAAATGGGAAACTATTAAGTCCTGTGTTTTTATTTTTCTAATGTAAGTATCTCTCTTAAGCTCAAAGATAAAAGTAGTTACCGTTTTAAAGGATCCCTTTTTTCCCTTCTGTTTTAACTCTTGCGTTTTAGACGAATTAGCGTTGGAAAAATTATTAGAATGGGCATTCAGATTCTGTTGTGTGTCTTAGTTGCCTGCTAAGAACACTGGTTCCCATCAGATTTAAACTCTAAAGACATCGTGAAGTCTTGGATATGCCCTGTCTCCTACTTTCTCTTTCTTTGTGGCCTTCAGATCATTAAATTTAGTGACTCAGCTAATTTTTTTAACCCACCTCTTAGAAAAGTTGAATGTATTTGTGACCAAGCACTTAGTTATTTCCTTTAAAGCAAGTGTTTGAGACGTTTTTAGATTTCTAACAGTCTTTGTTTACTGTGTAATTCAGTCCAATTGAGGAACCAGTAAAACTGCATTATCCAGACATCAAAGCTAAGAAGAGTATACTTACACCAAGAAACTTATTAGGTTTCTAACATGTGGAAAGTTACCAGGTGTCCCAAAATTAACCACTTGCATGCCAGCTGATTTTCATTTTTTGTAGCTATTTTAGTGATCAGCAGCATTCTGGGTTTAAAAATGTTCGTTGTGGCTGGGCACAGTGGCTCATGCCTATGATCTCAGCACTTTGGGAGGCTGAGGTGGGAGGATTGCTTGAGGCCAAGAGTTTGAGACCAGCCTGGGAAACATAGCAAGACCCAATTTCTAAATAATAATAATAATAATAATAAATTAGCCAGGTGTGGTGGCTTGTACCTGTAGTCCCAGCTACTTGGGATCCTGAACTGGAAGGATCACTTGAGCCCAGGAGTTGGAGGCTGTGGTCAGCTATGATTACACCACTGCACTCCAGCATGGGTGACAGAGCAAGACTCCATCTCATAAAATAAAATAATCGGTTCTGCATTCTTCAGAGTTTTGCTTTCTTTAGCATCCTTCAAATAACTAAAAATATGCCATTAAAATGTGTAAATAACCAAAGTGTTGGATGGAATAATACATTTTAGTTCATTTCAAAATAGAGCCAATATCTTTATTTCTTGAGGTTTGAGAGCTGGTGTTTTGTTCTGTTTTTCCTTCAGATTTCTGTGAAGGGATAGATATTAGACCCACTTTACAGAGAATAATTGAGTCACAGACAAGGGATGACCTGCCAATTGCATGCAGCAGTCACTTCAAGTAGGACCGATGCTACCAAGTTGCATTTCAAGATTGGTGACCTCAAGACCTGACAGATCCTGGGGTAAGGAGTTGATAGAGAAGGAATCTGTCAGATGAGCACCCTTGACTTCCTTAACCCTTCATCAGCAGTCCTGTCTGAGGCTCTGTTAAACCTAAGTGGCTTCATGGATTGAAATAAAATTATATATGTGTATTACAGAGTAATTGATTTTGTACAGATATTTCCTGTTAGGTATTTCAGAGGATGTGTGTAAACATGCTTTAGATATTCATAAGCATCTTGTAATTTTGTTTATGTAAGCAATCACCTAGGAAAGTAGAGGATGGGGAAGGTTTGTTTTTCTTTCCCATGGATACCCTGCTTGTTCCTACTGAATTCAAGAACATGGCGTCTTTCGGAACATGCCATTATCGGGAGGCAATTGCCTACAGTCATTAAGATTTCTCTTTTTAAAATAGTCAGTTTTTGCATATTACATCTAGTCACATTTTGTTTCCATAGAAGGTTTGGCTTTCTGGGATATCGGAAGGAAGCTATGGACGTTTGGAAAAGGTCTGTGACCTTTTGTGAGGTTATCATCACAGGGGACAATTGAACTCTCCCATTCATTGCTCCCTGATGTCAGTCAGAATAATGCATGGTGGTCTGACTTCCGGTGGCATTTCTTATGCAGTAGGCTCACAAAAGCATATTGAGGTCATGGCAAGGCTGGGTTCCTCCAAATATAAATAAGATTCAGAAGAAAATTGCTCTGTTCATTTCAGATTCTCATCTTTGTGATTGTCTTGGGAGACTGTTCATTTGGCTGCAGGTTCAGTGCTTGCACAGTCGTATTGGAGTATATAAGTAAACTGCAGTGCAGCATAAACTGTCATAGCCGGAAGACCGTTTATATGGAGGCAGTCAAAAGACTAGTTATTCTACCGATTTCAGCTGGAAAGTTGCTAAGGACTGTAAGTCGTAACAGTTTGTTACTTAAGCTGTTAAAACTTTAGGTCCTTTAAGGTGCCATGTTTTGGCCACATTCTATGGTCCCCCATAGCCTTCAGGAAAGAATCCAAACAGTGGTTTGATCCAGTCCCTGATTCCTTGCTAATGCATCTTACCCACTCTTTCCCCCCGTACTTTATTCCAGCTGGTTCTCCCAGCTGGCTGTGCTTTTTTTCAGGGAAGGAAGGATCTTGCACGCTCTGTCCCTCTGTCTTAAATGCACTTCATACTTCAGGTCTCACCGGAGTTGGAACTTCCTACAGAAAGGCTTTCCTAAATCTAAAAGGCTGGGCTTGGGAACCCTTCAATATGCTGAATAGTCATTCAGTTATTGATTCTTTCAGTAAATATTTGTGTCAAGCTCTGTGTCATAGGCTGAGGACACAGAAGAGAACTAGACAGGGGATGAGCCTCACAGAGCTTGTGTTCTTGTCAGGGAAACCATCTTGTATTTACACCCTTAATTTTTTTTATTTGGAAATGATTGAAAACTTATAAAAGTAGCCCAAAGGAGTATCCTATATGCTTTACCCAGATTCATCTATTGTTTTTCAATTTACCACCCCATTTGTGTTCTTACTCTTTCTATATGCATAATTTTTGGAGTGGGACCAGTTACATACCTTATGGCCCTTCCCTCCAAAATACTAAGGTGTGAATTTCCTAAAAGCGGCGATATTCTTTCACATGATAGCTACTTATAGTTTTACATTGATAAAATATTTTATTTTGGGGGGTTTATCCTTCCTGCATTTCTTATTTTTTATTTTATTTATTTATTTTTTTTTTACTGTGTTAAAATACACATAACATAAAACTTGCCATTTTAATCATTTTTAACTATACAGTTCAGGTATTAAGTTCTTTCATAATGTTATGCAACTTTTTCTGTAACTCTTTCCACCTTGTAAGACTGAAACTCTGTACCCATTAAACGGTAACTTTTCATTTCCACCTTCCCCCCAGCCCCTGACAACCACTGTTCTACTTTCTGTCTCTAGGAGTTTGGCTACTCTTAACTACTGCATGTAAGTGGAATCATATAGTCTTTGTCTTTTTGTGACTGGTTTATTTCACTTAGCATAATCTTAGCTCAAGATTCAGCCATGTTTTCAGAATTTCTTAGGCCAGGCGTGATGGCTCATACCTGTAATCCCACCACTTTGGGAGGCCAGGGCAGGCAGATCACCTGAGCCCAGGTGTTTGAGACCAGCCTGGGCAACATGGTGAAACCCCGTTCCTACTAAAAATACAAAAGTTAGTTAGGCATGGTGGCACATACCTGTAATCCCAACTACTCGTGAGACTGAAGCAGGAGAATTGCTTGAACCCGGGAGGCAAAGGTTACAATGAGCCAAGGTCGCACCACTGCACTCCAGCCTGGGTGACAGAGCAGGAATCTGTCTCAAAAAATGAAATAAAATAAAAATAAATTGTGAATAATATTATATTGTATGTATGTATCACATTTTGCTTATCTATCCATGTGTAGGTGGATGCTTTGGGTTGCTTCCATGTTTTGTTGTTGTTTTGACAGTCTTACTCTATTGCCCAGGCTTGAGTGCAGTGACTCGATCTCGGCTCACCGCAACCTTCACCTCCCAGGTTCAAGCAATTCTCCTGCCTCAGCCACCCAAGTAGCTGGGAATACAGGTGCTTGTCACCACACCCAGATAATTTTTATATTTTTAGTAGGGACGGGGTTTCACCATGTTGGCCAGGCTGATCTCGAACTCCTGACCTCAGCCACCTGCCTTGGCCTCCCAAAGTGCTGGGATTAAAGGCATGAGCCACCGCGCCCGGCCTAGGTTCCTGTTTTTTTTTGCAACGGGTTTATAATTCATTACCATACTTAATTATTTTGCCACTCAAATTGTCCCAGAGTTGGCCAGTGGAAGCCCCTTCAGGCTGGCTCCTGTGTCCTTGTGAGATGCCCCATTGTTTTTTTTTCTTGCATAAAAAGATGTTCCAGGCTCATCTTGTTCCTATCCTACCCTAACCTTGGAATCAGCCCTTTTTCCAGGGAGCCTTCACACCCTTGTTTTAGCACTTAGCACAAAAAAAACTGCTTACTTATGTTTTCCTCCATTGGACTAGATTGTACCTCTCTGAGGACACATTGATATAAGTCTTATTTGCTCTCACCCAGCACAAGGCCTGACATATGAGATGTTTACTAAATACTTGTTGAATAAAAAGTTGATTTTTACTGTAGTTCATTGATTAAAATTTGGTTCTAAAACTATGATGCTGATAGGTTGTCTTTTTTTTCCTCCCCTAGGAAGAAATGTTGGCTATTTGGCGATGAGAAGTGGCGAACAGTGACCATACTGGTATACAACACTATGGGACCTGGCGTTTTTGCTGCATGTCCAGCCCACCCCCACTAATAATGTAGGAAGCCGTCTGGTCCGTTGGAAACACTAATCTGATCTCGGAAGTGGCCGATCGTGGCAGGATGTGTCGACGATGATGATGGCAAGAAAGCAAGATGTCCGAATTCCCACCTACAACATCAGTGTGGTGGGATTGTCTGGGACCGAGAAGGAGAAGGGCCAGTGTGGGATTGGAAAGTCTTGTTTGTGCAACCGCTTTGTGCGCCCAAGTGCTGACGAGTTTCACTTGGACCATACCTCCGTCCTCAGCACCAGTGACTTTGGAGGGCGAGTGGTCAATAATGACCACTTCCTCTACTGGGGAGAAGTTAGCCGCTCCCTGGAGGACTGTGTGGAATGTAAGATGCACATTGTGGAACAGACTGAATTTATTGATGATCAGACTTTTCAACCTCATCGAAGCACGGCCCTGCAGCCCTATATTAAGAGAGCTGCTGCAACCAAGCTCGCATCAGCTGAAAAACTCATGTACTTTTGCACTGACCAGCTGGGGCTGGAGCAGGACTTTGAACAGAAGCAAATGCCAGATGGAAAGCTGCTCGTTGATGGTTTTCTTCTTGGTATCGACGTTAGCAGGGGCATGAATAGGAACTTTGATGACCAGCTCAAGTTTGTCTCCAATCTCTACAATCAGCTTGCAAAAACAAAAAAGCCCATAGTGGTGGTCCTGACTAAGTGTGACGAAGGTGTTGAGCGGTACATTAGAGATGCACATACTTTCGCCTTAAGCAAAAAGAACCTCCAGGTTGTGGAGACCTCAGCGAGGTCCAATGTAAATGTGGACTTGGCTTTCAGCACCTTAGTGCAACTCATTGATAAAAGTCGGGGAAAGACAAAAATCATTCCTTATTTTGAAGCTCTCAAGCAGCAGAGTCAGCAGATAGCTACAGCAAAAGACAAGTATGAGTGGCTGGTGAGTCGCATTGTGAAAAACCACAATGAGAACTGGTTGAGTGTCAGCCGAAAGATGCAGGCCTCTCCAGAATACCAAGACTATGTCTACCTGGAAGGGACTCAGAAAGCCAAGAAGCTGTTTCTCCAGCACATCCACCGCCTCAAGCACGAGCATATCGAGCGTAGGAGAAAGCTGTACCTGGCAGCCCTGCCATTAGCTTTTGAAGCTCTTATACCTAATCTAGATGAAATAGACCACCTAAGCTGCATAAAAACCAAAAAGCTCCTAGAAACCAAGCCAGAATTCTTGAAGTGGTTTGTTGTGCTTGAAGAGACACCATGGGATGCCACCAGCCACATTGACAACATGGAAAATGAACGGATTCCCTTTGATTTAATGGATACCGTCCCTGCAGAACAGCTGTACGAGGCCCACTTAGAGAAGCTGAGGAACGAGAGGAAAAGAGTTGAGATGCGAAGGGCATTTAAAGAAAACCTAGAGACCTCTCTTTTCATAACTCCCGGAAAACCTTGGGAAGAGGCCCGTAGTTTTATCATGAATGAAGATTTCTACCAGTGGCTGGAAGAATCTGTATACATGGATATTTATGGCAAACACCAAAAGCAAATTATAGATAAAGCAAAGGAAGACTTTCAGGAGTTGCTTCTGGAATATTCCGAATTGTTTTATGAGCTGGAGCTGGATGCTAAGCCCAGCAAGGAGAAGATGGGTGTCATTCAGGACGTTCTGGGAGAGGAACAGCGATTTAAAGCATTACAGAAGCTCCAAGCAGAGCGTGATGCCCTTATTCTGAAGCACATTCATTTTGTGTACCACCCAACAAAGGAGACATGCCCCAGCTGCCCAGCTTGTGTGGACGCTAAGATTGAGCACTTGATTAGTTCTCGGTTTATCCGGCCGTCTGACCGGAATCAAAAAAATTCACTCTCTGACCCCAACATTGATAGAATCAACTTGGTTATATTGGGCAAAGATGGCCTTGCCCGAGAGTTGGCCAATGAGATTCGAGCCCTTTGTACAAATGATGACAAGTATGTGATAGATGGTAAAATGTATGAGCTTTCCCTGAGGCCAATAGAGGGGAATGTCAGGCTTCCTGTGAACTCTTTCCAGACGCCAACATTTCAGCCCCACGGCTGTCTCTGCCTTTACAATTCAAAGGAATCACTATCCTATGTAGTGGAAAGTATAGAGAAAAGTAGAGAGTCCACGCTTGGTCGGAGGGATAATCATTTAGTCCACCTCCCCCTGACATTAATTTTGGTTAACAAGAGAGGAGACACCAGTGGAGAGACTCTGCATAGCTTAATCCAGCAAGGTCAGCAAATTGCTAGCAAACTTCAGTGTGTCTTTCTCGACCCTGCTTCTGCCGGCATTGGTTATGGACGCAACATTAATGAAAAGCAAATCAGTCAAGTTTTGAAGGGACTCTTGGACTCTAAGCGTAACTTAAACCTGGTCAGTTCTACTGCTAGCATCAAAGATTTGGCTGATATTGACCTGCGAATTGTTATGTGTCTGATGTGTGGAGATCCTTTTAGTGCAGATGACATACTTTTTCCTGTCCTTCAGTCCCAAACCTGTAAGTCTTCCCATTGTGGAAGCAACAACTCTGTTTTACTTGAACTACCAATCGGACTACACAAGAAGCGGATTGAGCTGTCTGTTCTTTCATACCATTCCTCGTTTAGCATCAGAAAGAGCCGGTTGGTTCATGGGTACATTGTTTTTTATTCAGCCAAACGTAAGGCCTCTTTGGCTATGTTGCGTGCCTTTCTTTGTGAAGTGCAGGACATTATCCCTATTCAGCTCGTAGCACTCACCGATGGCGCTGTCGATGTCCTAGACAATGACTTAAGTCGGGAACAGCTGACTGAGGGGGAGGAGATTGCTCAAGAAATTGACGGAAGGTTCACAAGCATCCCCTGTAGCCAACCCCAGCATAAACTTGAGATCTTTCACCCGTTTTTTAAAGATGTGGTGGAGAAAAAGAACATAATCGAGGCTACTCACATGTACGATAATGCTGCCGAGGCCTGTAGCACCACCGAAGAGGTGTTCAACTCCCCCCGGGCAGGGTCACCGCTCTGCAACTCAAACCTGCAGGATTCGGAAGAAGATATCGAGCCATCTTACAGCCTGTTTCGAGAGGACACATCACTGCCTTCTCTGTCCAAAGACCATTCTAAGCTCTCTATGGAACTGGAGGGAAACGATGGGCTGTCTTTCATTATGAGCAATTTTGAGAGTAAACTGAACAACAAAGTACCTCCGCCAGTCAAACCAAAGCCTCCTGTTCATTTTGAAATTACAAAGGGGGATCTGTCTTATTTAGACCAAGGCCATAGGGATGGACAGAGGAAGTCTGTGTCTTCTAGCCCCTGGCTGCCTCAGGATGGGTTTGATCCTTCTGACTATGCTGAGCCCATGGATGCTGTGGTGAAGCCAAGGAATGAAGAAGAAAACATATACTCTGTGCCCCATGACAGCACCCAAGGCAAAATCATCACCATTCGGAATATCAACAAAGCCCAGTCCAACGGCAGCGGGAATGGTTCCGACAGTGAAATGGACACCAGCTCTCTAGAGCGAGGTCGCAAGGTTTCCATCGTGAGCAAGCCAGTGCTGTACAGGACGAGATGCACCCGGCTGGGGCGGTTTGCTAGTTACCGAACCAGCTTCAGCGTGGGGAGTGATGATGAGCTGGGGCCCATCCGGAAGAAGGAGGAGGATCAGGCATCCCAAGGTTATAAAGGGGACAATGCCGTCATTCCATACGAAACAGACGAAGACCCGAGGAAGAGGAACATTCTTCGCAGTCTAAGGAGAAACACTAAGGTGAGATACCAGTCTAGGATGAGTCAGAGCGCTGTGTACACGGGCTGCAGCTGCATGAGGGTTGCTTGATGATGATGATTTTTCAAAGACAACCTATTCAGGTAAAAAACAGCTGCCCTCTGTGTGTGTTTGACTTAGCATAAAAAAACAGTGCCTCAATTAGCTACTACTATTGGCAGCTCTCAAGTAGTTAGGACTCTGGATAGTCTGAGTTGTTGTTATCTAAAACAATAGTTAATTAATTAGCAAAATGAGCAGATAACACAGAACTTGTCATTATCTTGACAAGTAGCCAAGCGCAGTGACAATACACTTGCCCTTCCTTCCACTGAGACACCGGAACCCAAAGCTGCTTGCTGTGGTCTCTCACTGCTAAGCATTTCACATTTTACCATACATCTCTTCAGTGAGCCTTTCCTCCCTCACTGACCTGTGAAGGCTGCGGCACTTTAGATTGGTGAAAGATTGGATGGTGACTTGCACGCACAAATCAGTGACAAGTCTTTGAGTACATAAATGAAAACAGAGAAAATTACCACTGAGAGTTACAAACCTGTCCTGTATTTGTTAAGTTGGAACACCATCCAGCTCTATTATTTTATCTTCAAGGGAGCTGCTGCCGCTATCAGTTAGAAACTTGGGTTTTATTTAGGGATCACCAGTGGGACAGGGACGGAAAAGGAAAAGTTAACTGTATACATGATAAACATCGGGCCTACTCGTCATATGTAGAGGCAGGAGCAGGTGAAGTGTCTTATCCTGTGTAGAATTGTAGTTTGTAGTTTGCAGGGCAGAGAGCTACTCTGTCCCCTTGGGCTTAGGCTTTGAGAAAGAAAAAGTGCTTCTCAACTTTGTCTTTTTTTTTTCCATTTGGAGTAGAGAGAAATACTCTTCTCTCCACCCCCAATTGCCAAAGCTGATTTAGAAATACTGAAATACTCTTTATATAGGCCAGGCTTGGTGGCTTATGCCTGTAATCCCAGCACTTTGGGAGGCTGAGGTGGGCAGATCACTTGAGGTCAGGAGTTTGAGACTAGCCTGGCCAACATGGTGAAACCCCGTCTCTCCTAAAAAAGTACAAAAATTAGCCGGGCGAGGTGGCAGGTGCCTGTAGCGACAGCTACTCAGGAGGCCGAGGCAGGAGAGTGGTATGAACCTGGGAGTCAGAGGTTACAGTGAGCCAAGATCGTGCCGCTGCACTCCAGCCTGGGCAACAGAGGGAGACTCTGTCTCAAAAAGGAAAAGGAAAAAAAAGTATATAGAATATGTATATATACTCACTCTATACTTTTTCAGAAAAAGTCATTTTGGTGAGACACCACAACAGAACTACGTTTTTTCATAACCTTTGACCAGCATATTATTATAGAAGGATTTCTCCATGATAAAGCTTTTGCTACTCTGCCTTCCACAAAAGAATAGAGAACAGAGTTACTTGTCTAAAAGTATTGCAGGGACCTTTGGAAAGAAAGGTTGCCAGCAATTTTTGTTACTATAAAACATACCAAATCAGAAAGCTCTAGAATCCAAGCTGTCTTGAGAGCTGACAGTCCTGACAACTGTGTTGTAAAATATATCACGGAGGCCAGTTTGGCAGTCCTGAAGTCCCTGAGAGATGAAGGAACAGGGTGCCATCACCCTCCCAAGGAAATTGCACCCACTTTGTGTTTCCCCGTAGTGGAGAGTGCTCCTGCATCATCGCTGTCCAGGAGCTTCCGGAGTCTTCTCACCTGTGCAGTGTGAGAAAGTGCAGAGTGGTTCTGTTCTCCTCTCTGCCTGTGCTGACTATTTTTTTCTGAGACGGAGTTTTGCTGTTGTTGCCCAGGCTGGAGTGCAATGGTGCAATCTCGGCTCACTACAACGTCTACCTCCTGGATTCAAGTGATTCTCCTGCCTCAGCCTCCCAGGTAGCTGGGATTACAGGCGCCTGCCACCATACCCGGCTAATATTTTGTATTTTTATTTTTTTCTAAGACAGAGTCTCCCTCTGTCTCCAGGCGCCAGGCTGGAGTGCAGTGGTTGGAGCTCACTGCAACCTCTACCTCCCGGGTTCAAGCAATGCTCCTGCCTCAGCCTCCCAAGTAGCTGGGAGTACAGGCACGTGCCACTACGCCCAGCTAATTTTTGTATTTTTTAGTAGAGACGGGCTTTCACCATGTTGGCCAGGATGATCTTGAACTCCCAACCTCAGGCAATCTACCTGCCTCGACGTGGCGTGAGCCACCGCGCCCGGCCTGTGCTAATAATGAATACCATAGGCATCCTCTTATTTGATTTTCCTTCGCCTGGCTTTTCTACATGGAGTCCTTTGTCTGCCTCCAGTGCTTTCTCCTCCAGAGGTTGGTAGGAGGCAGACCTGCAGAAAGCATTGCTTATTTAGGAAGCCAGAAAACAGCCTGACCTGCCTCCAGTATTTTCCCAGAGCCCACCTATTTAATGATACTGGAATCCAAACATTTTGAACATTTCTTCTCTTCCTCCTCCTCTTCGAATGAAGACTGTTGCCAGAACAGCTTAAAAATGGTGACAGTCTTGTAATTTGTGGGGGTGTTTGCACACCTGGGAATTAGGAAGGTGGCATAATAGCATAGTGAAAACGTATTCTGACTTCTAGCTCCATTTTTAATACTTACTGAATGATGCTTGAAAAACACATTTCCATGCAAGCCAAGCTTTCAAGAGTACACACTGTAGCGGAGGCTCAGCAGAAAACAGCTGGTCACAGTGCGCCTCTGAGATGGCTGTGTTCATGCTGGTAGTGAGCAATTCCTAACCTGAGACTTCCTCCCCGGGTTGCTGGGTCAGCTGCAAGAAGTGGTCGGCTTCCGGTCTGTCTTTAGCTATGTGGGCCACACCTCTTAAGTCAAATAAAATGATATTCTGGCCCAAGATCAGTAGCGTGCCAGAAGTCAGTTATGGAGTATCCTTTGGAAAGAGTGACTAGAAGGTGAAATTTTCTTTAACTGCCCTGGGAAATGGTGCTTTGAAATGAGGTTAGTTGCTTTGTTATCCCAGCGCAGAGATGAGCAAATCCTTTGCTCCTAGAGCAAACCTCCTAGTAAAATTGCTGCAGTTGGGAACACAGACTGGCACTTGTTTTACTGGAAAAGCAAGATACCGTCAGGGCAGAGAAGGCCAAGTCAACCCCTGTGTGGGGGAATCGGACATTGATTTTTATTGGCATAACAAAGCAATACAATATTTACTGAAGGGAGGGGGCAGCCAGGGCCTCGGATTTCAGTTGGTAATGGAAAATACACTCAGTACCTCTTGCGTGCCAGACACCATGGGGAAATGGTACAGACCCTTCTTGCCCAGACCTCAGTCCCCAGTTGAGGCAGTAAGACCTACACAGCTTCTGAAAAGCAGTGGCCTTCCCAGGGAAGGCTGTGTGTGGGCATGCTGGGGTCATTACGTTAGAGTAGGGTGTAGTGCTTAGGAGCTCAGGCTCTGGGAATTTGGGCTACGGTCAGCTCCAGCTCCTCCGCTTCCTTACTTGGACTTTGGACACGAGTCACCTCTCCACATTCTTTCTGCAAAAGAGGGAGCACCTTCCTGATCAGATGTGAGAAATGAACACCAGGCATAGATTGCATGCTGGATAGGTGTCAGCTGTCATCATTCAACTAGACGTCGTGGAACGAGTGGAACTGTGGCAGTGGCATTAGGTGAGGAAGGACTTGAAGGTGGAAATATGCATATTGTATTCAGAGAAAGGAGAACGCTCATCTGAGCTAGCTGTGGACTTGGCGGGGCCAACATTATCCATCCCTCGGGTGGAAGCTTTAACCCCATGCATCACTGAGCTGCTTTCTTGGTACTTACCCTAGCAACTGCCCTAACAAAAAAAAGCTATGCTCTGGGTACCAATGTGATACAGAAAACAATCGCTCAGTCCTCTTGGCTGATTTGCTAGATTAGGTCTTTACTGTAAAACTGGAGTTGGAGTGAGGGAATCGCTTTCATTTCTCCTCATGAAAGTGTAGACTGTAAAGCTCACTCTCATTCTGGGTGCTTTTCCCAGCTGAACCATTTAGCAACCCACCCTCATAGTGGGAGCCTTCCGCACTCAGTTGAATGAAATTGAAAATCTACGATTGCACTTCAGCGGGGCCATGAATAGTGGCTTTGTCTGTAAAGAGTTGTTGTTGCACATGGTCTCTGTCCTCCAGTGCCATGCGTTTGCAAAGACGAGATCAGGATCGGCAGGGTCTTATTTTAAAGCCAAAAAACAGGCTGGGGAGCCTTGTTCCACAAAGTATGCCTTTTGGGCATGCTGAAATGGCTGCATTCGGTGTGTTTGACTGTGGACTTAAAGAGAAGACATTATTGGCTATTTACCCTTCTATCTGATGTGTTCTTATTTTGGTGCTTAAAAAAAAAAGACAAAACAGAATGATAAAGAAAATCTTTCACTCACTGCAGCAGCCACATGACAAGACAACCTATTGAAAAGCTAACCAATTCAATCATGCATTGTTTGGTCTATAAGGCACCAAGTAACCAGTTTGACAGTTTCTGTCCCCCCTAGTGAATTGGCTTATTTTATGGGATTCAGTGAATTGGCTGGTTGTTGTGGCTTTGTGTGGACACAGCTCTCATTTTGTGAGGCCTAGAACGGAGTTAAAGTTTCTGGTGTGAATAAAAACCAGCTGGGGGATTGGACTGCTTGCTCCCCTGGGAGGGATGTTGCGTTTTGACAGACAAGCTGAATGTGATGAAATATGAGCTCTTTGTAACCTGCTCAGGAAAGACTCTCAGTGTGTGCTTCAGAAGTGGTTAGTCCTACTCAATGGGCTTTGAGACTGAATACATACCTTGGTTTTAAAAATGGGGCGGGCACACTGACTTGACCTTGGATTTTCTGTTTCCTGAAAAAAATTGTGTCTTTTAAATTGAGGTACTTTTGTCTCCAGAGCACAAGTTCAGTCATTCTTTTAGGAAGGAGACATTCAGTTCAGCGTCTGGGCATTTAGTGAGCACTTGTTTTATGCCCAGCA